TAAGAGTGACTGCTTTATGCTCAAGAGCTGCATCAAGACTTGCAGACTGAAGGAAGAGGATTTCTTTGCAGGCCTGTGGGGCAGGTTGGTTTCTCTGTAAGAGCTGAGCCAAAGGATCTTCGCCACCATGGTAATCATGGATCTTCTGAGTAAACAAGATCCAGATGGCATGCAGGAAGGTTCCTGGACATCATGGCTCTCCTGTCAAAATGAATGTTGAGGCTGCTCATCCTGCATGTTGTGGGATATGGGACCCTCCACTCTCTCCCCTGTTCTCACCAAACAGGAGAAACTGCCTGAGCCAGAGGGGCAGCTGGAATACCATTTATGCTGCCCTCTGGGTACCTCTTTCATCTTAACTCTGCTTGTTCAGCTGTGGGGATGCACTGAAATCTAGCTGATTTTTGCAAAAGAGCATAAGTCTCCTTAATAATACAACTAAATAGCCTCCTTTTGAGATAAGAGAGGTAGAGGATGAGGAAAAGGTCCATCTTGTTTTATGATATTCTCTGCTTTGTACAGGAAGATTCAGTGATGTTTACAGGTGGTTTTCCAAAACTTCTCTCTGATCAAAGTTGATAAAGCTCTTCTATATAGGAAGAATGTGAATAATGTCTCTCTCTCTCTCTCTCTCTTTCTCTCTTTATTTTTTTTGAATAGCTTTTTTTTTTGTTTCTTATGGAGAAACAAAAATTGCTGTCTAGTATCATACAACCATAGATCCTTATGGCCAGAGTTTGATATCATCACAAATAGTAATTCTTAATCCAATGACCATGAATTAAATGATTTCTATGTGCCAGGCACTGAGCTAGTTGTAAGTTGTGGGTAAGATTGAGAGGAAAATAAAAAAAAATAATAGTTGCCATTTATATATATATTTTGTGTGTGCTTATTATGTTCCAACCACTTGACAAAATACTTTTATGTAATGTTTATGAGACAAAGGAAGGTAGAAATGATTATTTCCGTTTTATGGAAATGTGGAAACTGAAACTCTGAGAAGTGGAATAATTTGCTTTTGATGACTCATGAAGATATAATACTTGGGCAGAGCTTTTTGACATTGGCTTCCAGAGAGAGGTGAGCCATGCTGGGAAGAGGAATTGGTACAACAGAAGAAGGGAGACAGAGAGGCCAGGTCAGGTTATGAAAGAGTTGTGTATCATTGTCCTTGAGACCATAACAAGAGGGAAGCTTGAATGCGGAGGTAGGCTTGATAAGGTGCAAGGCTTGGAATAGCAAGCTATGTCAATGGGATTCATTCTCAAACACTTGGATTGTTGCTGTCACCAACTGTAATATGGATTAATTATAGGTAGAACTGAGTTAATAAGAATAATCAATCAAATAATACATTGGTGGCTTTTATTGTTTTTCTCCATTATAAGAAGCACTATGTGCTCATTATAAACATTTTTGGAAAATGCCAAAAAAATAGAAAGAAAAAGAATTGACCTTTGAGTCACTTCCCAAAGCAACTACTGTGCACAGTCAGGCCTGTTTCTTTTCAGTCTTTTTTTCCCTCTTAATAAGATGGTAACTTTTATTTTACGTGTTATAGTCAGTGGTAAAGAATCCATCTGCAATGAAGGAGTTGTGGGGTTTCATCCCTGTGTTTAGACGATCTCCTGAAATCTTCTACTGGAAGTGAAATGTAGATTCTTCTACTAGAATCTTCATCTAGTAGTGAAATGGCTACTCACTTCACTCTTCTTGCTTGAGAAATTCCATGGACAGAGGAGCCTGGCAGGCTACAGTCCATGGGGTCTCAAAGAGTCAGTCATGACTGAGCGACTTAACAATCACAGCAGTAAGGCCCTTGAAAACATGCACTTTAATGGCTATTATCCACCAATTGGATATAACATGCTTTACATAAACAAGGCTTTGGAGTTCAATATGAAGATGTTTTGTGATTAGGATACTTATAAGTAACAATTTTTTGAGAAGTAATATTTTCATGAGAATATTTGTGCTTCAAGTTTTCTGACAGTTTAAATGATTCTGTAGAATGAATTTCTGGGAGTGGTGCTGTCAGATTAAAATTTACATGTGCTACCTTCTACCTGTGTTTTAAGTCTTCCATCATAAAGACAGCTTCAGTGCTGTTTTAGGTTGCCTTACCCATTTGTATGCTGCTGAATTTTCTTCTGTCTCTTTCACATATATAACATCTCTCATAAATGTCAAGTAAACAGCTGAGATTGAAATTCCTGTGCCCTAAGAAAGACTTTTTTGGGTTCCAAAATCACTTCTGTTGGTGACTACAGCCATGAAATTACAAGACTCTTGCTCCTTGGAAGAAAAGCTATGACAAACCAAGACAGTGTATTAAAAAGCAGAGACATCACTTTACCGACAAAGGTCCATATAGTCAGAGCTTTGATTTTCCAGTTGTCACGTACAGATGTGAGAGCTGGACCATAAAGAAAGCTGAGCTCCGTAAAGAACGTTGATGCTTTCGAACTGTGGTGCTGGAGAAGATTCCTGAGAGTCCCTTGGGCAGCAACGAGATCAAACCAGTCCATCCTAAAGGAAATCAACCCTGAATATTCATTGGAAGGACTGATGCTGAAGCTGAAGCTCCAGTTCTTTGGCTACCTGATGCAAAGAGCTGACTCATTGGAAAAGACCCTGATGTTGGGAAAGATTAGAGGCAGGAGGCGAAGCGGGTGACAGAGGATGAGACGGTTGGATGGCATCATCAATTCAATGGACATTAACTTGGGCAAACTAGGATAGAGAAGCCTGACGTGCTGCATGGGATTGCAAAAAGTCAGACACGACTGAGCACCTGGACAACAACCATGAAGCGAGATTTAAAACTGCTAGAGTATCTATCTGTCTTGCTGGAAGAAAGATTTTTGTTGGAAGCAGGGAAGAAAATCCTATGCATTCTGCTGAATGACTTTCCGCAATGCTATTGACCGAAAAAGTTTCCATCTCTTAGTAAAAACATACAGTTTCTGCAGATCGTGTCTGCAGCCACCCCCTGCCTCGGGGGAACCTGAGAAGTCGGTGCTTATTTAAGGATTCTATAGGTGGCTGGAAGCTCTACCGAGAGGCTTAGGAATGCGTGATCTATTAATATAATACTTATTGAGTGACTAAGCCATCAGCATCACAAAGCTTACAGATGACTAATCATTTTTCTCATTCTGCAGAGGGTGGTTTATGAAACAAAGCAAACAAGCCCTCTGCCCTTTTGTTCTGTGATTCACTCCTCCGAGGTGCCTGGTGGGAAGGCCGAGGGAGCGTCGGGACACAGGCCAGTTCTCCTGGCTCTTCCCCACCGCTTGCTTTATCCATGCCCCCTCCCATCGTGTCCCAACTCGCTGGGGCTACACCTCTGTTCAAGGCTTGAGGAGAGTGGTGCTGTGCACTGGGGAAGAGTCAGCCTTTGGACTTTAATACAGCTTCACATTCAGGCTCCAACATGCCGCAGCTGTGTGACAACCTTGGGCAAACAACTTGGCTTCTCTAAGCTCCAGTGATTCTCCTCTCCTAGGCTGAGATGAAGAAGGAAGCTCCAGAGTTGTTATGGGAACCGGCGAACACAAACTGCCTAGTGCCATGCCTTGGCACAGAATGAGGGTTTGAGAAATGGTGATTGTCATGAGGGTGAACTACAAGTTTTCCCAGGCCATCTCCCAGGAGCCAAGTAACTGTATGATTTGGGAACTTTTCTCTCACCTTTTGTTTGTTCATTCCAAAAACCAATTATAATAATTTCTACCTGGTAGCTTTGTAAGGGAAAGAGAACAAGATATGGCAACGTGTCTGGCACAGAGTAGCTTCTCAACACATATTTTTTCCCCCTTTTCTCTCTCCGTGGTTGATTCAAGAGTCCCTTGGGATGTCCAACCTCCTGAAACTGCTCTTAGAGATTCTTAAGGTAGAAGAGTATTGTTCTTAGGCAGTAACCCCAGAAGAATGATTCCAAACACTGGCATTGGGTATTTCTCCGGCTTGGAGAAGAAAAGGAGTTTGGGGATTCTGGAAATGGGTACTGGTTGATGTATTACCCTGGGTGGGGTGTGGCCAGTTACAAACCTAGGGAGGTTAGATTCTGGCTGGCACAGTTTATGGGTGACATAGAGTAAAGGCTAGAGGGCCCATCCCCAATACTCTAGACCAACCAGTATGATGGGTCTAGAGAAGAGGACGGCTCCCCAATAATAACTGCGGTTGAGTTCCTGCCACTCTGTCCACTGGGGGCTCCTAGGTAGATTTCACTTGATTGAGACAAACAGCATGATGTGGCATTTCTTGAAGGTTGATAAAAATTAGCATTGTGGTGCTAGTGGTAAAGAACCTGCCTGCCAATGCAGGAGACATAGAGATGTGGGTTCAATCCCTGGGTTGGGAAGATCCCCTGGAGGATGGCATGGCAGCCTCTTCCAGTATTCTTGTCTGGAGTATCCCATAGACGGAGGAGCCTGGTGGGCTACAGTCCATGGTGTTGCAAAGAGCTGGACATGACTGAAGCTACTTAGCATGCACACGCACATCTATGAACACCAAGGACAATAGGGTGTAATCGACAGTGCTTAATAAATGGCAGTCAATACTGCTTTTGCTCTTGTCTGACAGGGAGATGGGATTTGAGACTTAAAATGTAGCTAAGAATGTGGATTCTGCAGTCAAGGCAAGAGCAGTATCCATCATTTACCATCTAGGTACTCTTGGGCAATTCATTAAACTGTCTTGATCCTGTTTTTTCATCTGCAGCTTTCAGATACTAAAAGTAACTCTCACAAAATGCTGTTGGTCCTAAGAACCATGTTTGGCTTGAATAATTGATCAATCATTGGTAGCTGTTAACATTAACCATGATTGTGCGGTACTTGTTGAAGGAAGCTTCATGCTTCCTCACCATCATTTTTAAAGATCAGTATAGAAAGATAAACATTCAAAGCCACAAATTCTATTTACATTATGCTCATTAACATTTATTCCACAGGGTATTGGGCTGCTTTATGGCCCATTTTATGTAGGCCTAGAAAAATTCCTTTGAGAACAACCATGCATTTTCATGTAGATGCTCTTGAACCTGAAGAACTTGCATGTTTGGAGAAAACCAAGGACAAAGACAGGAAGATAGAAAGTTTGGAGAAAATTTGCCTTGGAGCCGTGAATTCTTGTTACTCAGGACTTAGAGAAGCTGAAGGAAGAAATCCAGGGAACCAGGGGCTGCAGGACTTGGCTCAGCTCCAGGCCAACAAGGTGAGCAACAGGTGAGAGCCTATGGTATTTGGTGCCGAGTTCGCGGTCTCCAAAAAAGATTGAACTCTGGGACCAAAGACAGTCTCAGTCACTCAAGCTTTGTGTAGCAAAATTTTATTTAAAGTGACAGGACAGGGAGAGCTTCTGACATAAACATCAGAAGGGACTAGAAAGAGTACCCACCCTCACTAGTTTAAGGGACCTTATATGGCTGCTGAGAATAGATAAAAAGAAGACCTCAAGGTTGTAAGAGTTCCACCAGACCCTTTCCCAAGACATACATCCTGAGATAACTTTGGCACAACCTTAGCCAGGGAGAATGGTTTCGGGCAACATCTCTGGGCAAGATAAACTCTTGCTGTGTAATCATGGGTAGAGTCTTGAGAAACAGGCTCCCAGGCAAGACTTGCTACAATTATAATCATGAACTTAGAGCCTAAGAAAAGCATTTCCATGAGTAAGACCTTGTGCTGTGTGACCATTCCTTCTGGACCTAAAGAAAGGCAGTTCTTGGACAAGATACATTGATGCACAAGGCTTAAGCAAAGCATGAGGGAGAATGTTCTCCTGCTAAAGGGCCTGGGGCTGCCTGCCTAAGCTTTCCCTCTCTCACGGGGTCAGTGACAAGGTGCACAGCTGTCACAGGCCCCCAGGCACACACTTGAAGGCACAGAAATTGGTCAGTGCTTCACTGCAGCCTCTTGTATTTCCTGCGCATTTCTCCTATAGCCTCTCCTACCTCACAGACACGGGATTCTGGAAATTGGCTCCCCACTTAGCTAAGGTGATACATAACAAAGCCGCCGACCCTCTAGTCCCTTACAGGGTCCTAGGCTTCAGCAGTATGTGAACTGAGAACTTCCAGATGTCCAAGCTGAGTTTAGAAAAGGCACAGGAACCAGAGATCAAATATCCAACATTTGGTGGATCATAGAGAAAGCAAGGGAACTCCAGAAAAACATCTACTTCTGCTTCACTGACTATGCTAAAGCCTTTGACTGTGTGCATCACGACAAACTGCAAAATTCTTAAAGAGATGGGAATGCCAGACCACCCTACCTGGCTCCTGAGAGACCGGTATGCAGGTCAAGAAGCAACAGTTAGAACCAGACATGGAACAACGGACTAGTTCAAGACTGGGAAAGGAGTATCTCAAGGCTGTGTGTTGTCACCCTGCTTATTTGATATCTATGCAGAGTACATCATGTGCAATGCTAGGCTGGATGAAGCACAAGCTGGAATCAAGATTGCTGGGAGAAATATCAACAACCTCAGACATGCAGATGATACCACTCTAATGGCAGAAATCAAAGAGGAACTAAAAACCTCTTGATGAGGGTAAAACAGGAGAGTGAAAAACTGGCTTAAAACTCAACATTCAAAAACTAAGATTATGGCATCTGGTCCCATCACTTCATGGTAAATAGAAGGTGAAAAAATGGAAACAGAGACAGACTATTTTCTTGGGCTCCAAAATCATTGTGGATAGTGACTGTAGCCATGAAATTAAAAGATGCTTGCTCCTTGGAAGAAGAGCTATGACAAAACTAGACAGTGTATTAAAAAGCAGAGATACTGCTTTGCTGACAAAAGTCCATATAGTTAAGGTATGGTTTTTCCAGTAGACATATATGGATTTCAGAGTTAGACCATAAAGAAGGCTGAGCACCAGAGAATTGATGCTTTTGAACTGTGGTGTTGGAGAAGATTCTTGAGAGTCCCTTGGACTGCAAGGAGGTCAAACCAGTCAATCCTAAAGGAAATCAACCCTGAATATTCATTGGAAGGACTGATGCTGAAGCTGAAACTCCAATACTTTGGTCACCTGATGCGAAAAACTGACTCCCTGGAAAAGACCCTGATACTGGGAAAGATTGAAGGCAGGAGGAGAAGGGGAATGACAGAGGATGCCATGGTTAGACAGCATCACTGACTCAATGGGCATGAATTTGAGTCATGCCCAAACTTTGAGTCTCTCAAACTCCAGGAGAAGGTGAAGAACAGGGAAGCCTGGTTCACTGCAGTCCATGGGGTGGCAAGGAGTCAGACATGATGCAAAGAGTCTGATATTTATTGTCCTGTTGTTCATATTTTTATTTGCAAATTCTGGAGTAATAGGAAAAGTCCCACTTACTTTTTGAATATTTACATTTGTGCAGATGTACACAGACATCTGTACCCATAGGTGAGAGATTCAGAGAGAGTGAGCAAGAGAGCTGTAGGTTCTCTACCAAAATGTGAACAGCAGTGTCCACTGGATGGTGGTAAGGATGAGAGGTTATTATTTTTTTCCTTTGTGCTTTACTGCCGTGCTCCCCATTTTTTCCCAGTGACATTCTATGGCGCTTGAAATAAGAAGATGAAGTCCAGTAAACATGATTTTTAACATATTTCTGAGCCTCAGTGCTGTTCAGCTGGTGAACCAGATGTGAGGGGCAGGGGCCTGGGCTTTCTGACCTGCTGGCCCTCCCAGGCGGCTCCTGATTTGATGAAACATCAGCTGCTCTGAATTCCTACAGCACCTGCCACAACAAAAGGAGGCCCTTTCCTGGGCAGGCTCATGCGCTTGTGCATGCCTTTGAAGAACAAAGAAGCCGAAAGAGGAGGTCAGCGAGCCTCCCTTGGACACTGTCCACCCGCCCAAGCCCGAGCCCTCTGGGGGGGGTAACAGTCCAGCTGCCAGGGACGGTGGCCACGGCCGCGGTGAATCCCCACCACCGCCCTTTCGTCCTCTCCGGTGGTCTCCCCCCTTTGTCTGGCCCCCGCCTCCGGCTTGGCTCGCACCTCAGCTCCTGCCTCGTTCTAAGGACCATTTAGCATCTGCTCCTCTGATGATGCTTCTGTGTTCTCTCGTGGATCCAGCTTTGCCCCGCACAGCACAGCTGTGTCTGAGAGCTGAGTGGGCTTCCCAGGAGGCAAAGGCCACAGTGAACTGGCTGCCCCTCGGTCTTCCCAGCTTCTCTCTGCCCACGTGCTCACACTCCCGGCCCAGACGGAGGAAGACAGCCAGACCAGATTTGCTGGCGTGCTCGAGTTGGTCTGGCGGAGGATGGACCCTCCGTGGGGACGGGAGGTGAACGGGGTGGGACTCTTCTCTGGCAGGTTCAAAGTGGTTTGGGTGATTTGGGGATTTTTGGAGGCAGGACCTTGTGGGACTTGCCCGGTGGCTCAGACGATAAAGAATCCACGTGCAATGCGGGAGACCTGGGTTCAGTCCCTGGGTTGGGAGGATGCCCTGGAGAAGGGAACGGCTGCCCACTCCAGTATTCCTGCTGGAGAATTACATGGACAGAGGAGCCCCGAGGGCTATAGTCCATGGGGTTGCAGAGTCGGACACGACTGAGCAACTGACACTTACTTTGTGGAAGATTGCTAGGGTGATTTCAATTCTTCACCCTGTTAGCCTGGGTATTTGCTATGTCATTTTGCAAGTCCTCTCAATAGAGATGGAAACTTTTACACCTTGAATTTGTGCTGGCCTTGTGACTTGATTTTGCCGTTAGAACCCGATGGAAGTAATGGTTTCCTATTTCCAAGCCTAGACTTCAAGAGGCCTGTTACTGACTCTTGGTTCTTCCTGCCATGACCATAAGGAAATGCAGATCTTTGGCACATGGAACTGAGCTGGATCATCCCATTTGTCCCACAAGAGGCTGACCTGGCTACTGGACACCCAGCCATCTCTGAACCCTTTGAGTGAGCCAAGCAAAGATGAACAGAGCCATCCAGCTCAACATCCTAGAGACGTGAGCAGTAAACACTTATGATTGTATGGGGTTTTAAGTAGTTCTTATTATGTAGCATTACTGTGAAGAGAGGTAACTGAAAAGTGATCTTGCAACATAAATTCATTTTATTCCTCACCTTGGATTCACTCAGTCATTCAACAGATATGGAGTATCTACCATCTGTCAGCTCTGTGCTAAGTGTCCTTGGGGAGACAAAGGTGGTGGTGGCATTACTTCACCAGGAGCATGTTGGCAGGAGCAAGAATGTGTTATGTAAGAGCAAGGATTCTGTTTACTGATGTGTCCCCATCACCAAGAAGAGTAAGCTGGCATTTAGAAGATGATCTGTAGACATTCTTTGTCTTATGGAGGTGTTTGCGTGTGTGTGTGCATGTTTATCATATAACTCATTGAATATTTTATACAAACATACAGGTACATTTCTCCTGCCCTCCTTAAATGGGCAGACTGTTCCCAATTCTTTTCTCCAGTGTCTTCCCCCGCCACTGTCTTCCTAAGCTGTCAACTGCAAAAAGTGCCGTGTGCCGTAAACGTACCTCCATAATAGAATGTGGATGCATAAATCAAAACAGCTCCTAACGGGTTGTCTGCAGTCATAAATGCTCCAGAGGCAGCCCGACTGGCAAGTGTAAGAGAGATTGTACAAACCGCTACCTGGAGAAAACCCGGCGTCATGAACAAACTCAGCCTTGGATTATTTATATATTTTCAGCATTATTTTCCCTCTCGTATTCTGCAAGGCTTGCAAATGGTTTCTGTGGAGGGCCGAGAGTGTCTGAATTTGGCTCTAAAAGGAAAGCAGTTGGAGTTTTGTCTTAGGGCAAGTTTCAGGGCGGTGATTCCATTGTGTTCCATGGGGCAGCCACTCGACTAGCAGGGCTGTGTGGTGGGGAGGGGCTGTTTAGAATTCAGGGCAGCCTGCTTCTAAGCCCAGCGAGTTGCATCCCTCGGGCTTGCTGGCTTTGTGAACCACCTGGGACCCACGTGGCTGGAGGGTGAGCCTCGGGGCCCGCCTTCCCCACCTGGCCCAGGCTGCTGCATTCTCTCTTATGCAGTAGGTTTCAACCTAAGATGCTGTGGTGGGAAAAAAAAAAAAATTATTTTGACTGTAAAATAAAATTTAAAATTTGGAAATCACTGGGCCTGGCTGATCTCTGAGACTCCAAAGTGGCTTCAACTCAAGCTGCCTAGGAGAGTCCCTGGGAGCATTTAAAACCTATTCATGTCAGGACCTCAATCTTGATCAATAAAATCAGAATTTTTGGTGTGGTGGTTGGAGGTTAAGATTTTTTAAAGCTTCCAGGTAACTCTGATGGGCAGTAGGGCTGAGAACCACGGCTTCAAACCCTTCACTCATCCAGTAGGATGTGTGCTAAGCACCTGTTGTAGGCCAGGCAGACAGCGAAGAATTAGGGGCAGAGTGATGGACTCCTCCATCACGGCCAGTCCTCGCCTTCATCATTCCAGTGCAGTCGCTCAGTCGTGTCCGACTCTTTGCACCCCCATGGACTGCAGCACACCAGGCCTCCCTGTCCATCACCAACTCCCGGAGTTTACTCAAACTCATGTTCACTGAGACGGTGATGCCATCAACCATCTCATCCTCTGTCATCCCCTTCCCCTCCTGCCCCCAATCCCTCCCAGCATCAGAGTCTTTTCCAATGAGTCAACTCTTTGCATGAGGTGGCCAAAGTATTGGAGTTTCAGCTTCAGCATCAGTCCTTCCAATGAACACCCAGGACTGATCTCCTTTAGGATGGACTGGTTGGATCTCCTTGCAGTCCAAGGGACTCTCAAGAATCTTCTCCAACACCACAGTTCAAAACATTAATTCTTCTTTACACTCAAACTCTCACATCCATACACGACCACTGGAACAATAGCCTTGACTAGGTGGACCTTTGTTGGCAAAGTAATGTCTCTGCTTTTTAATATGCTGTCTAGGTTGGTCATAACTTGCCTTCTAAGGAGTAAGCATCTTTTAATTTCATGGCTGCCGTCAACATCTGCAGTGATTTTGGAGCCCAAAAAATAAAGTCAGCCACTTGCCTTCATGGAGTTCTCTATTTAGTGGGAGATTCTGACACATAAATAAACAGAAAAGGCATGAATGAATACAAGCTGTAAATAGTTTGGTGGGATGTGTACTGATGTGGGGAGAATAAAACACTATAAGAGCTTTTTTTTTTTTTTAGTAGTCTTTTAAAAGTATCTGTTAACTGATTTTTGACTGTGCTGCGTCTTCGTTGCTGTGTGCAGGCTTTCTCTACCTCTGAGCTCCTCTCTCATTGCGGTGCACGGGCTTCTCACTGCAGTGCCTTCTCTTGTTGCAGAGCACAGGCTCCGGGTGCATAGGCTTCGGTAGTTGCAGCTCTTGGGCTTACTTGACCCAAGGCAGGTTGGATTTTCCCGGACCAGGGATTGAACCCCTGTCCCCTGCATTGGCAGGCAGATTCTTAACTACTAGAGGAATAAGGAAGTCACTATACTAGTCTTAACAGCAATAATAGAAATAGTGATACTATTTTTTTTTTTTTTTTGCTGAGATAACATTGCTTATACCCTCTCTAAAATTCAAGTACTATTCTAAATTATTTACATAAAGTAGCTTATTGAATTCTCATGCCATTCTTGTAAATAGGTGCAATTACCATCTTTGCTTTATAAATGAAGAAACTGAGGCCCAGAGTGGTTAGGTAACCTAGCCAAGGTTGCACAGCACACATGGGTAAAGTATGGGGAAAGGGAAGTAATTCCCAGCCTTGGGGAATCAAGATGGTGTCTCCATGACCCTTTGCACAAACTTCAAGCTGCAGAGATTGTGGAGCTGAATGAAGGTCAGAGTATATGTTATGAAAGGAAAATTAATCTTTTCCAAGTTGATGCACTGATATTTTGTTTCTGGTTGCCTTTGCTGTGGAATCTGACTACAAACATTGTCTGGAGAAAATTTTCTATAGACAAATAAGCAAGTTTGGGGTCTAAAAGGGTTTCAATTGATCCCATCACTTCTACTTGAATTCATGTCTCTCTAATCCATTGTGGGGTTGTTTTTGAACTAGGAGAGACTCTAATCCTAAGTGTTTTCTTAAGAGCTTCTTTACGTTCATGCTTGCATCCAGGTGACTCCCCGAGCCCAACACACATTTTTCAGGTAAAGATCAGGCCCACCCCAAGAGCTCTCAGCACTGGTCTCTCATTAGCCATGCATAGCTTGCTGGAAACTAAATGGAAGCCCACCCTTTTCCCCTAATGCAAGACCTTGAACTTCAAGTGTACATTTTCTTCTAGTTGGTCAGGGAATGTAGAACTGAGATGGCAGTAAGCCTGGATAAGGTCACAGGAATAATCAATCTGGGTGTGTACAAAGATTATATGAGCCTTCAAATGAAGGCTTGTGGAGTTGCTCTTGTAAACCCCCCAGAAGAAGACAACACACTAAGAATTTCATGAGGATATGTTGCTGTTGTGAAAGTGTAAAGCAGAATCCATGGCATGGAATGAGTTAGGCCCTGCTTCTCTGTAAGTATCACAGCACATGCCCACACGTCTGCACGCTTGAAATGCTACAGGTGGAAGAGACTGAGAGATGACACTTTTATCTCACAAGGAAGCAAAGAGGCCCGAGCACAGCCCACACAAGCCCTCACTTCGGCACACTTGGTGTGATAATCCAGTCCGCCGGACTCCCCTCTGATGGCTGTTCACCTGACCTCTCTTCAACTGTGTGCTTTTCTTGCTTACAATCCCACGATTCAAGGTGTCAGCTACAAATCGGCACTTGCCATCTACCTCTTGACTTCCCTGGCAGCTCTGATGGTAAAGAATCTGCCTGCAATGGAGGAGACCTGGGTTCAATCCCTGGGTCAGGAAGATCCACTGGAGAAGGGAATGGCAATCCGCTCCAGTATTCTTGCCTGGAGAATCCCATAGACAGAGGAGCCTGGTGGGCTACAGTCCATGCAGTCACAAAGAGTCAGACACGACTGAACAACTAAGCATGCATATGTGAATCTACCTCTGTAAGAATTAAATCATGCACTGCTGCATCTGCTGACCTTCTGCACCCCCTGAAGGGTGTTCAGGGTGGAGAACAGGAATGAGGCTCTCTGCTGGAAAAACTGGCAGAACAAGTCTTCGCATAGATATTTTCAAGAGCTGATTTTATGAGCCTACTTTTTGTATCGCCTCATATCTCGAAAAGTATTAAAGTCCTTCATGGTGATCTCTGCTCCTCTTGACTAGCAGAAACCTTCTTCGAAAATAAGTGCTTGATTGCATGAACTCTCCCTTCACCAAAATCACATGTATACTGACCTTCCCCCACG